TTATCAGGTAGGTTAAATACATAAATTACACAAGTAACAGAGTAAAGGACAAAAGAAAAAAAAACAAGCTAGTACATAAAACCAAAAGTCAAAGTAAAGGAGCAAAAAAATCTTTCACCTCTATTTATCACTAGAAACACATGCTTTTAATTTAAACAGATAATAGCTATTTTTAAGACCTCTGAAAGGTGAACTAGATAAAAAGCACAATTTTCAAAACATTGACAAAAAAAATAAAAATTACTTGGTCAAATTACTTGGTCATAAATGAAAAAATCACTCCTTACATTTTGGGTCCTTGTCATTTGCAGCTTGTAAAATATAGTCAAATGCATTTGGGTAAAAGTGAAAGTCATTTGCTCCTCCATCATGAAATATGAGGCACCCTGTTAATGACATTTAACTAAAACATAAAATCACATTGTATCATTGAGTGATACAAGTATTCAAAATTCTCAGAGGCATTCACAAAGCCAACCCAGTGGATTTCTCCAGAACAAAGAGTGAAACACGAGCCAGGAGGCACAAGTGGAAGCTATGTAAACTGATTTTAAAAGCAAGAACAGAAGGCACCATTTTACCCAGAGGGTTGTGGAAATATGAAATGAGCTACCCACCCAGGTTGTTGAAGCCAATCCTTCGCTTCATGATGTTATTGAACAGAAATTCAGGTGGCGATCAATCTCTTATTTTGCACTTGTGCTTCTCTAATGTACTGTACATATAAAAGCTCCCTGGCTGAATATGGTGCTATGTGCATCTTTCTAGCAGCTGGCATTTGATTTCGACACATATGGACACGTTTCTCTTTTGGCGCTGCTGGGGTCTTAACTTCATTGTATTCATACAGTGTATCTTATAAACGAGGACCAGAGTCACTGTCTTGTCTCTTAAACATCAAACCTCCGCAAAAAAAAACAAGCAGCTCTGTTACAGCCATACTTAATGTGCATTTCTTCTGAGTTCTAATGATGTTGACAAGCTTTTCAGACGCTACAAATAAGTGTCTTCCCTTTTTCCTTTCATTCTCTCCTTAATTGTGCTCATTCTGCTCCTTCTCCTTTTGTCTTTTTCTCTCTGTTTCAGACCGAGAGTCTAAGCCACCTTCTGTCCCAGTCTATATATGTTGTTTTGTCCCTCCCCTCTGCCCAAGCTTTGCTTTAGTCATCTCTGCAAGTGCCCCCGTTTCTCCCTCTCTACCCCATAGGTACAAGCAGACAGCGTCAGTCTGCAGCAAATCTAGACATTCTTGTTCATCCGAACACTATCCCAACTGCTCAGGACTAGATTACTACTCTATCTACCCCTCCTTCAGTTGGCGTCCAACTGGTGCGGAGTCAGACCATGAGCCCCTGAACCCCAAAAAGCTACACGCCACGTACGCAGCTGAAATTTGTTTGAATTTGAGAGATTCAGCTACATGTTTTCATTCATTCTGTCTAGAAAGCGTTAACTCTGTTCACAGTAGCCCTAACCCTAATGCCAACCCTGATCCTAACCCTCTGGTTAGGATCAACTCCAACCAGCACTGTCATTACAACAGCCAGGCTGTTAAAGCCAAAGTATTAGGCCTGCTATCCATTTATATTAATCAACTTGCTTTGTCATTGTTACAATTTGACCTAACAACTGAATTTCAAGAAACAGTTGGATGTGACCCTTGCATCAATTACGACTACCAAATGGGCTAGAAGTGCCAAAGGGCCTCCTTTCATTTGTAAAGCTTCTTATTATAGATTTGCCAACTTAACTGTTGACAAGTGATCAACAAATTAGATTGTGTGACATTATTTTTTGTATTTTTTGTACATTGTCCAAGACAGAGAAAAATGTGAGATTATCCTGTGTTCAATAACTTATGTACTAATGCACGACCAAACATTTTGAGAACTCATAGTAGTAGTTATGGCTCTGGGATCTTTACCACTATACATGTAGGGGGCAAGACCATGCAAAGTAAATTAAAATTTGAGAAAAAAATGGGTTTGAGTTGCAGTAAGAATGATAATAAACAGGTACTGTACCTTATTTCTAAGCTGTCTAACGTATTTCAATGCATTATAAAAACTTGACAAAAATAGAACACATTTGCATAAAATTACATTTTGTCTGACAAAGTCCTGTCAGTTTTCCAAAACATATTTTGCTAATAAAGATGGTTCCATGCACAATGTAAAAATGTATTTTTACCAGGAGAAAGTGATCAAGGTATTAAAAGGTACAGAGTACATACTGTACTGTAATTCAATAATGTTAACAAAAAAAAGATCAAGAGATCAGGAGAGTTTCAAGATTGATTTTAACAATTTAGATCAAGGGTCTCCAATTCTGGTCCTGAAGAGATGATTTGCCTACACATTTCTTTCTGTATTTCTCTCCCCCTCTTCTTTTAACAACCCAAATCAGCTCATCACTCATTAAAGGGAACATTTTAAAGCTTTCTCAAAGGGATCTTTAAAAGCAGTGTTTTGAAGAGACAACCTACAGTACAGACACACTGACCCTCTAAGACCAGCAAAGGATTTCCGTGTTTCTGATTGATTAGTGACATAGTTTGATATCTTTATGTGCAAATGTAAGAAAGTTTACAAATTATGTGTGGTGAATTAGTCCATCAATATCATTAGGGTGCTTGTGACTAATTAATCCATGTGGGTAGCTTGATCCAGATTTCCACAACATTTTGTGTAAATAAACAAGTAATAGGTTTATTCCATGCTGAAAAAAAGAAGAAAGAGAACACAACGTTTCGGCCGTGGAGCCTTCTTCAGGTGTGAGAGAAACAGGGCAGTAGGCAAACTGTCTACTGCCTACTGCCCTGTCTCTCTCACACCTGAAGAAGGCTCCACGGCCGAAACGTTGTGTTCTCTTTCTTCTTTTTTTCAGCATTGAATAAACCTATTACTTGTTCCTTTGCAGCCTACGCATGCTGACGCAGCTACCCACCTCAACTACTTTTGTGTAAATAACCTCCTTTAGGTGTCAGTCTTAAAAACAATTTGCCTCCGTTTTAGCTTGTGTCTATGGTATGGTTTGTGGCTTTACATACATTGCAGGCAAAATATTCTAGATTTAGTTTCTCGTTTAAATAATATAGTCAGATCAGACAGTTTGTGAAATACCAATGTCAACTTTTCTCTTACTGTAATATCATATAATTGCTTGCATTAGCATAGTGCTTTTCATCACAAAGGATCTCAAAGGAGGTCACATGCACTACACTACATACATGATGTACCCACTTCATCCACCACTGAAGTGCAGCACCAACCTACATGGGTGACACACAGTAGCTACAGTATATTGTGCCATGAGCCCTACTACACAACAGGTCAGCTAGAGAAGTAATATTTCACTAATTGAATCAAGTGGAAGATTTAGAAAGGCCAGACCGTAAAAGCCCAAACATTAATTTAGCAAAGACCCTAGGGCCACCCCTAATTTTACAAACAGTGCCATGGAATCCTAAAAGACCATTAGAAAGTAAGAAAAGTTACAAACAAAGGAAGTCATTCAGCCCAACTTGCCTGTTTGGTAGTAAGTAGCTACTGTAAATGATCTAAGCATCTCATTGTGACGTTTCTTGTGAGAAGCCAAGGAATCAGACTCCACACATTGTTCCACACATTTGCATAATCTTTTGGTTAAAAATGTGCCTCCTGTTCCCAATTTTAAATGTTGCTCATGTAGTTTCCACCCCTGCCCTCTGGTTTCACTGTTCTTTCTAAAAAAGTCACCTTCTTTAATGTTATCTTTGTCAAAGCCATCAAGGAGGTTGAATTTGGGTATTAGAATTGTAGTGTTCTCTGTTCAAGACCAAAAAGGTTTAGTTCCTTCCACATGTCAAGACAATCCCTTAAGCCCAGACAACCCTTTAACCCAGAATATATCTGGTTGGTTGTCTCTGAACTGGTTCCAGAATAGTAGTACAGTATCTCTTCCATAATGTGGTCACCAAAATGTATCACAGCCTTTTAAATAAGGCCTTACTAATGCATTATAGAGTTTGTAAATTTATCATTTCAAATCTACTTTTTCTACTTATTAATTATTAATTACTTCCCCACATTGTCCAGAAGATGTAAATAATGGGTAAAAATAAACACATAAATCTTTTTCATAAGTAGTCTCTTCCATTTTGTGCTGTATTTGTAGCTTGCATTTCTTCCACCTGCATTCAATAACTTGTAGCTGTCTACATTAAACATCATTTTGAATTACATCTATAACTTTATGAATTTCATATACTCCTTCTATAGTGTTTTTTAGTTCTTGTAATTTGGTATTTGGTATGTAAATTACAAAGAGCAGAAGTCTTAATACAGATCCCTGTGGTACTCCATTAATTACATCACCCCAACTTGAATATTTACCCCCTCATCTCTACCCGCTGTTTTCTATAGAATAATACATTTTCAATCCAAACACTCAAGAATCTCTGAATGTCTAATGCCTTCAATTTGAGAATTAATCATTTATAATAAACTTAAAATAATCAAAAGTTAAAATACAAATCTAAATCTAATAGTTTACCTAAATATAAAAAACACACCATACCAGATGCCATAAATGTATTAATTTATCACTTTTGTTTCTTGTTCAATTATCTCTAACAATATGATTTGACAAGCCCCACCTGCTCTAAATCAATGCCATCCATCCTAGCTTTAATTATAGGGCTCCCATCCTGGTACTGACCAGGTCAGTTCTGATGAGACCAGCCTACATGGTCATAACTCTTTTGTTATTCTGTATCAGTTTCATCTGGACAGAAGATTCATGTGGAGAAAAACCTAACTCACATTTCTACTAAATGTTCTGTTCAACACTGTCATTGAGCAGGAAAAGCCCCTTAAATTACAGGTGACCGACTCCGTGCAATCCAAAAACGAGTGCCAGGCTCATCTGTATTGGAGGCTCCCTGGCAGAGACAGCAGAGAACAGATTGCACGGAGCAGCAGAGAGAGCCAGCAGCCTTGTGGACCAGCAGAAGGGCCTACCTTTCCCAGTCCTGGGTTGTCCTTGACTTTGTTCACGGCTCGAAGCAGGCAAGGGGGGGCCGGCGGGGGGGAGATCTGCAGGATGCCACTGAAGTTGGTGGGGAAAAGAGGGGGGTCACACACATAGGAGGGGGAAGGACGATGCTGCTTCTTTTTCTTCGAGGACAAATTCAGCTTCTGGGCAGCTCTGGGAGATGGGAAAAAAGAGAAGGCTTTATTTATGGTACCGTCACTATGGAAATTTGTGCACTTGTCTGTTTTTAATTAGAAATTTGCTGCACTCCTGTACAGCAGCCTGCTGTAAGAAAACCAGTGGAATTATGTTTGAATCTCAAGAAAAACCTGTACATTAATAATGGCAAGTAAATACTTTTTTAGAGGGTTAAATTGTAAAAAGCAGGAAAAAAGAGTAAAATACAGTCGACTCGTCATATAACATAACATTTCATAACTGAAAGTTCACACAGTACAGTTGGTACAATACTTTACTACATTAAAATCTAATGGCTCACTATTATAGTCACCTATAATTAGGTACCTGTAATTTTAATTTTTTCTACTTTGATGTTTTCCTTAACATTTTAAGTAAGGATTTAGCGGACCTCAGCACAAGCCATCTTACAATATGAACTTTTTGATTGCAATGATGTCGGAAAAATAATCTGCAAATTGATTTCCCTGGGAAAGAGTGGGGTGATATATCTGGTTGTGTGCAGGCAATCATATGGTAAAGATCTTCTGTGAAGTAACACAAAGGTTTCCTGTCAAATGAAGCATGAAAACGTAGTAAGTTCACCAGTAGCTTCTGAGGTACAGTAAGAAGATAGTTTTAAATTGAGTCTCTAGAGCACTTCCCCCTGTCAAAGGGTGCAAGATTAAGAAACCTGAATGGCAGAGACAGTTAGCACTGAGACACCACAGGAATCTCCAAGAATGAGATAACGATGAGAACGGAGAAGAACAGCACAAGCTGATTATGAACCAGCCTCCACCGGGGTATAAACACAGATTCCCAGAGCTGTTTCATTTGTACCCTGATCTAGATTTGAGCCCAAAGGCAAAGATTGTACAGGAATTGTTTCAGGCAGACATTAGCTTTAATTTGTGTCTCAGAGAAACTTTCCATATAAATTATTTTACTAGTTTAATCATTTAAATCTTTCATTTTACTAACCATTTATAGTCCCACAAAGCAAATGCGTGAGAGGTTATTAAATCAGAATTACCTATTTCTTTTATTCTTTCTAAAACATCTGCAGGGCTTGAGCCATTAATGTACCACAAGCCTTGGCTGGTATGCAGGATCTTGCTTTTAAACAGCATTTATTTCTGGACTCATTGCTTTAAATGATTTCAGTATGCAGAACTTTGCAAGAATACCATTTAAAAAATGAATTAAATATTCTTTCTCAGACAGGATACATATCTCAACATGCAAAAAAGCAAATAAGTTAATCCATTAAAACAATCTACAATACTTTATCATAGGACACTCTTACTGCAGATAGTGTGTCTATTGTGGTGTGAAAAACAAAGAGTAACAATCAGTAAATTAGGAAAGGAGGGAACCTTTTAACAATAACAGCACAAAAGGGAAGTAAACATGTAATTATTCTAGTGCATTATCCATTATTTCAGGCAGTTGGAATGGGAAATAACTCAATCTGTTACAAAGCTATTTTAAGCCGGAAGACACACGACCTTAGTACTATAGACATGTACTGTATAAAGGGCAATCACAATCTATTGTCACCTGTACTCTTCCTGAGTGTCCACGGCTGGACTAAATAGTGCTTAAAAACAGACAAGCCCTTCTGTTGAAGAGCTATTTGAACATTTCAGTTGAAACTACTACTTTAGGTGCTACTCTAAACAAAATCAGGCATTTATTCTTGACTAATATGAGTGAAGAAAGGGTTACACATCTAGAGAGTTTAACTGAATCACAGGAGGACTGTTTTTTAATAACTAGAGGTGAAAATGGTAGAGGTGATTTGCTGGAGCTGGCAGTCTGAAACAAGGGGTTAACGTTTTGCGTGAATATCTCAAATCTCTAATGTTACCTAGTGGAGTGATATAGTAGAGAAAGTAATTTTACTGACGTACAGAAGTTTCAGAAAGATCTTGCTTTTATAATTAGCTTGCTGTTTCATTTCAGGAACATAAATTAATTTCCTCAAGAATACATGACTTCTGGGCAAAATGAAAATGAATACCAAATACATTAATAATTTAAAATATTTGATGCATCCATATAAAATTATTTTTTCCATAGAAAAAAAGTAACGACATATATATTAAAAAGTGGATTTCTGTGGATAAATATACATTTACACTACTTTTTTTATTAAAATACAAAAATCCATTCATTTTCATTAACCACTTAGTCCGATTCTGAATTCAAGGCAGGATACACTCTGAGTGGAACACCAGTCCATTTTAAGGACTCCAATTTCAGACACCAATTAGCTGAGACCGGTGATTCCCTGCCCTGGTCTTTAAAGACCACTGTCTCTTCTGGTCTTTGCTCCACTTGAGCTCTAAATCACAGATTCATTGATATTAGTTTTCCATTTGGGTCATATTTTTATATTTGCTTTCAGCTCTCAAAAACCCATGAGCAGTTTGTAATAGGTATCTATGTCTGAGTACTTGAACTGTCCTAATAGAAATGTGTTGGGCCTTGTAATCTAGCCCCACTTCTCCTGAAAATGTAGCTATTTAGCTAATCTGCATCACTTCCACCAATGCTAAGATGTGGCAAACTATGCCAACTGGAAATAAAGCATTGTACTATTAATGAATCAGAATTGTTAGCTCTGAAAAAATAAAAAAAATAGTCTTTTTGTGACATGCCTCATAAGATCCTACATGATATTGTCTCATTATCTTCCAATGCTGCTGGCACCTGGAAAAATGTCATACTGTATATTGCATGTGAGTATGCAGTATAGTAGCTGTATTGATGTACCACCTTCCAATGCAGTATATGCTGTGCAATAACTTCCTTAATGTGGCTTATAATAGAATCCATCCCCATTTTATCTGCTGAAGCAATCTTAGTGAAGCACCTTGCTCAAGGTGAGAACTGCAGCAACCCACCCCACCCAGGCTTTGCTCCCATGACCCCCGAGACTGAAGCCCTAACCACTAAGCCACACTGCTGCCAATAACAGAGAAAATAATAAAAGCTTCCCTCTGCACTTCCACAGTTCACTACATTCCTGCAATGCACATAGAGTTTTACCCTGCAGTTCTTAACTTACAGCATTGCTTGTTTTTTAAGAGGAAATCCTAAATCTCCTGCGCAACGCAGTACCTATGGATTTGTTTAAGAGCGTAACAGCTGAAAAAAGAAATTGTTCTCCAGCTTCTCTTCATTTTACAGATCTAATGCTTTTAAACAGCTTTCATTGCTCTGTCAACATCACAGGGTAATCCCTAAATGTAATCTCATGTGCACCACACAGAAAAAAGTACTGTATATGTCTTAAGTGGCATATTGTATACTGTATGATATGTATGACTTTTGTTTTAATGACCAGATAGTTCATGCAGTACATCTATGAAATATACATTTTGGCATTTAGGCACAAATGTACTATGTGTATGAAAACACAGAATATCTGGGTAAAATATTCTTAGACATACAGTACATAGGCATGTCACTTTTCTTATTTGTGCAAGAGTGCTTTAGACCTCAATGCAAATTATATTTTGGTTCACAATCTGTACAACGATTTTGAGAGTCTCCCTAATAACTGCCATTGTAATATCTTTATTTCTATATTTTCATATCACCTTGGATGAAACATTAACAGCCTCACAGTGCCAACTGGGATCATGCAAGGGTCATTAATAAGAGACAAATTCAACTTTCAGATGAAAAAACGAATCACAGACATCTTAGAAAAATTAGGCCTGTATGACAACTAAGTGCTTGTTGCAGACAATATAGAGTACTTTAGCATTTAAATTAAGACCACATGGAAGAAATGAGTTAAATTAATCTAAACCGAGGCACTCTACCAGGGAGCCCTAGATCAAGTGCAGTTCAATTGACTTCCATAATGTATTGATTTGTCCAGTGCTCATCTTAACAGAGTGACCTTATCACAGCAACCCTTGAGTGGTCACTTACAGGCATACCACAGGCCCATCTGAGACATCTAGAGAGCCACTGCACAATCAGGGATTAGACCAACTCAATTGGTCTGGGGGTATATGTATCGATTCCATTGGGCTCCTCAAGCAGAATAAATCAAGAGTGAGATATGGGTAAATAATGCTGCTGGTGCAAGATCAACCAAAGACCCAGGAGACTACAGTACATAGAACTGGGACTTTGAGTTACTTTTCTATTGTCTGAAAGAAAGAGTCATCAAGAACAAACCCCTCCGCATTCACGGAAAATTAAGTGGTCTAATGCATTAATCACTGCCACATAGAATCAATCAAATGTCTTTCAACTGTACATATTAAGTAGCCTATATTTTAAAATGCCCCAATTTGTATCATGTCCTCTCTCCCTATGGAATTTGTCCATAGACCAGTGGTTCAGAAAAAAACATTGACAAAACAAAACTAGCCAAGTGAGATACCCCTACCACCTCCTGTAGATGGGATAGTTTACAGCATATATTTCCCATATGGAATATAAAATCAGTGGGCTTATTTTACCAATTTATGGACTACTGGTCCAATATCATTTAATTACAATAGTTAATTATAGTTTAATATTGAGTTATGCTTGTTATTCTTGATTTACCATTTACTTTCCTGAGCAAGACTAAAAAACAAAGCTCTTCCTATGTTCAGTTCTAAGATACACCTATACATGTAGTGCTTGTACACTACTAAATTTGGTTTGACAAATTTACTGAGTTGCTAACTGTTCTCATAGCAATGTGGAGACACCACAAAACATATTAATAACGCACTTTATTTCTTAAAATATTTCAGAGATACTATCATAAATTTAAGTTACAGGGACTTGAAGGACTGAAATAGCTTCTTAGGGTCACATATAGAAAAAGAGTGACTAACATGACACTTTCTACTATCGTTGAAAGTACCTTGATTTCACCATACATGACCAGATATCTCCTGAGACAACATTTGCCCAACATGCCAGAGAGTATGTAGATCCCAAAATGGGTATCAGTCATTTTTGGGTTCATGGAAGAC